AAAACGGCAGCATTTGTGCCCTGCCAAGCCGCATTGGCCGTACCCAGCTCCGCGCCGTGCAGAAGCTCAGTGAGGGCCCATATGTGGAGACCGAGACCTACCCCAAGGAGATGGAAATGTCGCCGGCAGTGCCATTCCTTCGTCACCTGCTTTGAATTACAGGAGGTATTGCCTGTAAACTGCTACTAGTACTAAACTATTTCAAACATGTTTGTGCAACGTTGTGTGTGGTAGATCATGCATTCAACTATTGTGCATGGGTGGTCTCAAAGTTCCTTTAAAGCATGTGCAACGTTGAAAATATGTAGTCAAATGCATGCCTGGATCCGCCAAGCAAAGGCATATACAGACTGACAGGATGAATTCTGCATGTTTTGTTTTTGTGTTGTTGATGATTCTTTGATTTTTCTATTCCAAACATGAGCTGCAGGCTACCCGCAGGTACTCAAGGGCTGGGTCGGTGGGGAGAAGGGTTTCGACCCTTTGGGTGTCACGGATGCATTGCCCGTGTACTGGGTCCGGGAAGCTGAGCTGAAGCACGGACGCGTTTGCATGCTCGCGACAGTTGGATGGATTGCGGGAGATCTTGGCTTTCGATTTCCAGGTGACAAGTTCCAAGCTGTAGCGAACAGCCTTGAGGCACATGACAAGATGGTAGAGGCTGGCTATATGCTTCCCTTCCTTGGAGCTATTGGCACCTTTGAGCTCTATTCACTCTGGCTCCTCTTCAAAGGTTGGGAGCAGGAAGTGAATCGCGATGCTGGGGACTTCTTCTTGGGCAAGCAATTTCTTCCCAAGGAACCCGAGAAGGAGAAGGAGATGCGCTTGAAGGAGCTAGAGAACGGGCGCCTCGCCATGTTCGCCTTCAGTGGAATTGTCACACAAGCTGCCATCACCGGCAAGACTTGGCCATTCATGTGAGGGCTTAGTGAGGCTTAGTGAGGCTGTCAGCTGAGCGACTGGGCAGATCCGACATGAAAAAGAAACTCCGATCTTTGCCCGTCAGAATCTTTAGAACTTGCCCACCGAAGAGTGAACAGGCGAGAGTTATTATTAATTAATTATGAGATGTTAGAGTTGGTCAGGGTCTTGCAGGATTTCAAACTTCAACCTTTTACATATGCTACTCATATTGAATTCCTGTCTGAAAATAAGGAGCGCATCCCAAGCAGAGCTGGATGATTTGGTGGCAAAGCACCGCAGCAAGGAACAGGCCTCTGGGATCCTCCGGGCAGGGCTGTGCAGATTGGGAGATTGGTGGGTCGAATGAAGCCGTTTGCCCAGCGCGTGGATTTTCCAGAAGCTCTGTGCCTTGGAGTCCCTGACTGGTTCTCCAAACAGTGCCTGGTTGTGAGATAAAAGAAATTTCCAGGCTCCATTGAATCCATTGAATCCATTGAATCCATTGCTCTATACTGAGTTTTAAGATGTTTCAAGAGATTCTTCAGCAGCTTTGTTCGATGCTTTGGTCGAGAGTCCAGAGTGTGCCTCATCAGGTCGTCAAGTCATGGTCTAACGATAGTCTTGTTAGTTTTCACTCCAAGTCATGTTGCCTACACACACTACAGCCCTTCGTGGTACAATTACACAAGACTTTGCTTGGGTGTTGCATTTCACAATGTTTCCTCTCATCTTAGACTTCCAAGATTTTGTTTCATTGGCTTTCGTGCACTCCCTGTCAAATGTCTCTATTTTTATGTCAAGCTTTCAGCCTCCTCTACCTCAACTGTGCCAGGAGCTCTTTGCTCTAGCAGTTGAAGAACGTGATCCGGAAGGAATTCACAGCCTGGCTCTCTTGGGGCTTCAGGTGCAAGACAGGAAGCTCGTCCCAAAATTGTTTCAAAAACCGAAAAGATAATATAAGAACATATAAGAACCGTTAGGACAAAGACTTCTCTTGGTAGTGTGAAGCAATGTCCTGCATATTTTTCCACATGGCCTGGACTGACCTGGAAACTTTGCTTTGCTCCTTGTGAGAAGTGGTGGACATGTGCTAGGAAGAACTCCACTGAAGAGCTAATGCAAAAAATCAAAGTGCCTGGGCAGTCATTTGTTCAGGCGGTGTGGACATGTAGAGTAGACCACATGGAAGGGAATGAAGTCCAGGTAAATTAGACCAAAGAATACGGCTAAAATATGTAAAAATACTGATTTTGGTTGGTGGTTCCTGAAACTAGCTGTACATGACTTAAAGGGACACAGCCGCATAAAACACCCAAATGCTGCAAAGACATGCAAAGACCATGAAAGACCAATTCTTTGTGGCATGATGAACTAGTTGTGGTTCGTAGGACAGAAAATAATGATGCGATTTTAGTCCTACTGTATTCTCATCATTCAACCTAGCAGCTCCCATAGGGCAAGCATGTGTGTGTGTGCGTGGGCATGATGCAGGGAGCTTTGCCTCCATGCCCGTAGGTATGAAGGGCCCCAATATCGATTGCAGTGGATATTCATGCTGGCCTGTTAGTTGGACATGGTTTCAAAGTTTTGAGCAAGGATCAATAACTAAAGTTAAAGCAACATGATGGTGTTTCAATATGCTTTAATACTATTTTATAATATGCTTTACTGTGTTTTACAGGTTGCTGCAGCAAAAGATCTTGGATAGCGTCACGGCTTGAAACTGTTGGTTTTGAAGTCTTTAATGTACATATGAATACATATGATAGATAAGGAATAATGTAGGTTACTGATTAGTGTGGGGAGGCCCCCCCCCCCTCCCCCCCAAACAAATCTTGGATACAGAATAGTGTAAAAAAACCAAAGTAACGGGTTAAATAATGTTGTAAAATAAGAAAAAGCTCGCTTTCAATTGATTTCAATTTACTTTCAATTGATTTGAATTTATTTTGAATTGATTTCAATTTACTTTCAATTGATTTGAATTTATTTTGAATTGATTTCAATTTACTTTCAATTGATTTCAATTGATTTCAATTTACTTTCAATTGATTTCAATTTACTTTCAATTGATTTCAATTTACTTTCAATTGATATCAATTTACTTTCAATTGATTTCAATTTACTTTCAATTGATTTCAATTTACTTTCAATTGATTTCAATTTACTTTCAATTGATTTCAATTTACTTTCAATTGATTTCAATTTACTTTCAATTTGCTTTCAATTTACTTTGAATTTACTTTCAATTGATTTCATTTTACGGCCAATTTACTTTCAATCGACATCCCATAGAAATCCAATAGTAGTCCCAAAGAAATATCATAGAAATACCATGGAAATCCCATAGGAATCTCACAGAAATACCATAGAAAGATCATAGAAATAACATGGAATAGCATAGGAACCACAAAAGAAATCCCATGAGAATTCCAATAATAATCCCATAGAAATATCATAGAAACATCATGGAAATACCTTGGAAATCCCACAGGAATCCAATAGAAATTCCATAGGAATCCAATAGAAATACCATAGAAATCCCATAGGAATCCAATGGAAATCCCATAAGAATACCATAGAACTCCCATAGCACCCCTTCAGAAATCCCATAGAAATCCTCCAGAAATATCATAGAAACATCATGGAAACCCCATAGGCAATCCATAGAAATCCAATAGTAATACCATAGAAATACCATAAAAGAAAAAAGCTTTAGCAAAGGAAAAGGTAAAGGGAATGCTTGAAAAAAACATCACACCAGGAAGCATCTGGACACAATAGTGTACCCTCGAAACAAACCACACTATTGTGTATCAGGGTTGCTCATGGACTACCCCCTTGAAAAATTGTTTGAGTGATGTTTTTTAATTGGGTTTTAATAAGGCATCATATATTTTGGGAAACTGGTCATTTCTGAGAATTTCAAATGAAAGAAACTAAGAAAGTAATTAAGTAATTAAAAGAAAGAACTTTAGCAAAGGAAAAGGTAAAGGAAATGTTTGAAAAAAATCAAAAAATCATGACATCAGGAAAGCAGCTGGACACAATAGTGTACCCTCCAAACAAACCACACTATTATGTATCAGGGTTGCTCATGGACTACCCCCTTGAAAAATTGTTTGAGTGATGTTTTCATTGGGTTTTATAATAAGGCATCATATATTGTGGGAAACTGGGCATTTCTGAGAATTTCAAATGAAAGAAACTAAGAAAGTAATTAAGTAATTAAAAGAAAAAACTTTAGCAAAGGAAAAGGTAAAGGAAATGATTGAAAAAATCAAAAAATCATGACCTCAGGAAGCAGCAGGACACAATAGTGTACCCTCAAACAAACCACACTATTGTGTATCAGGGTTGCTCATGGACTACCCCCTTGAAAAATTGTTTGAGTGATGTTTTTTAATTGGGTTTTAATAAGGCATCATATATTTTGGGAAACTGTGCATTTCTGAGAATTTCAAATGAAAGAAACTAAGAAAGGAATTAAGTAATTAAAAGAAAAAACTTTAGCAAAGGAAAAGGTAAAGGAAATGATTGAAAAAATCAAAAAATCATGACCTCAGGAAGCAGCAGGACACAATAGTGTACCCTCAAACAAACCACACTATTGTGTATCAGGGTTGCTCATGGACTACCCCCTTGAAAAATTGTTTGAGTGATGTTTTTTAATTGGGTTTTAATAAGGCATCATATATTTTGGGAAACTGGGCATTTCTGAGAATTTCAAATGAAAGAAACTAAGAAAGTAATTAAGTAATTAAAAGAAAAAACTTTAGCAAAGGAAAAGGTAAAGGAAATGATTGAAAAAATCAAAAAATCATGACCTCAGGAAGCAGCAGGACACAATAGTGTACCCTCAAACAAACCACACTATTGTGTATCAGGGTTGCTCATGGACTACCCCCTTGAAAAATTGTTTGAGTGATGTGTTTTAATTGGGTTTTAATAAGGCATCATATATTTTGGGAAACTGGGCATTTCTGAGAATTTCAAATGAAAGAAACTAAGAAAGTAATTAAGTAATTAAAAGAAAAAACTTTAGCAAAGGAAAAGGTAAAGGAAATGATTGAAAAAATCAAAAAATCATGACCTCAGGAAGCAGCAGGACACAATAGTGTACCCTCCAAACAAACCACACTATTGTGTACCTGGATGTAATTTTCTGTGGAAGGCATTCTGGGGAAAATTTCAATGATGGAAAATCAAAAGTAAAAGGAAAAAGCTTTAAATACATGGAAAAAAGAAAAATGTTTGAACAACAAAAAAAGACCAAGACACAATTGTGTATCCTGACACAATGACACAATTGTGTATCCTGACACCATTTTAAAAAACAATTAAAAACAATTTAAACATATAATTAAAAATAAAAATTAAAAACAAATAAAATAAAATAAAAAAATAATTAAATTAAAATTATTATAATTAAATTAATTAAAAACAAATAAAAAATAATTTAAAATAAAATAAAACATAATTAAATTAAAAATTATTATAATTAAAAATAAAAATTAAAAATATTTTAAAATTTTAAAATAAAATAAAAAACAATTAAAAACTAAAAAACAAAAAAAATGAAAAAAAAAAACTTACACCAAAATCCTGTGGACACAATAGTGTACCCCTCGATCATTTCCAGAGTTACAGAATAATTTTGAGGTCTGTGGACACAATAGTGTATCCCCACACTAATCAGTATCCAACATTATAGATATATATCATATGATATCATTGTTTTTCCATGTTTTCCCCTGCTTTCCATGTTTCCTACATCTTGTGATCAGACTCAAGCAGCATTGCCTTTATAAGTTTCCTATGAAATGCCAGGAACTTGAGAACCAGTTGGAGGATCAACGTTCGATGATCGTCGAAATCCTCTCGGGTCAACCTCGCAAGAAGAACACTTCGGAGCCTCAGACCTTTGCACCTGCAGCACCTGATGCACCTGATACACCTGATGCAGCACTTGAACCAGCATTTGGACCAGCACTTCCTGGCAAACTTAGAGTCTCGACGGGAAAGTTGGGCTCCGTGCTTGTATGTCATAACAATTGCAGGATATTGCAGGTATATCATCCTTGAGAATGTTCAGATTTGATCAGGGTACTGGGTCTCGATGACAATTTGCCGAGTAATTTGTCCCTTTGATCCACGGTTTCTAAGCAGTCACAGTACAGCGGAGGAACGTTTTTGGAAGCCGCTGGCCGGGAAGCAATGGATCTCATTTCTCAGAATCAGGAGCTCTTGGAAGCCTTTACAGAAGCTTGGCAATGCATAGCATGGATCTCAATGGATCTCACCGATCTCACAATTTGCCTCTGAAGGTGGCTGTGGAGAAGAATTGGCACAACAGTTCAACATAAGGGGGCAAAATGTAGACATGATTCGCCCAGAACTGGAGTTGATGCCTGCGACCAGTCAAGCTTGTATATGCAGAGAACCTGCCCCTCCCCGTAGATCACTTTTAGCATTGTTAACCACTTTTTTGTTGCACCCTTTGCACCTCAGTAATATTTCTGTTACTCGTATCAACAGTTCAGTGGGATGATGACCAAATATTGCGAAGCATTGCGAAGCTGGCAGTTCAGTTCCTGAGTGTCATCAATGTGCAGCTTCAGGAGCTGAATGGGTTGGGTGAGACTGGCTTTGAAAGCCTCAAAACGCCGGAGCAGCGAGCCCTGCTCCTCAGCCTTGTAGCTGCCTGGGCAATAGTTACTGAGTCAGCTTTGAGCCTTGGGAGGCAAAACCTGTTTGTCGTGCTTCCTGGCTATTGCTTCACTCAATTCTCCGTTTTGCGGACTTTCTCCTTTCGAAGCAACGGCGTTTTTCAATAATAGAAGCGTACAAGCAGTTCTTCAGCATTCTTGCCTTGTTAATGCTTTGGTGGGCACTCCAGATCCTGAAAATGCAGCGCACAATCCCTCGAATAGAATAGCTGCCCATTCCAGGGTGTACTCCGCATGAGACTATAGGCGAAACCTTCGATTTGGCTGCACATTTGCCAGATAATCCAAAGCCAACCAAAATTGCGCGAAGGTAGGCAGATGTAGGCAGTCACAGTCACGTAGGGAATTAGGATTGAAATCCTGGAATAGCTCAGAGTGCGCGTATGTATATAGAGGCTCGAGAATCAGGACCTATGATGGGCACTTTGTCCCAACGTAGACTTCAGTCTATCTAGAACGTTGAAAACTGTCACTTTCCGATACAAGGAGAGAGGCTTGAGAACCACACTTGAACTATAAAGGTTTGTGCAGTTGGCCATCAAGAACAGCTTGGAATCATTCTGGAAAAGCTGGGCCAAGGAATTTGAAAGATCTTACTTTCGAGGATGAGGATCTCCAGGTCCAAGACTCAAGTGCTGCAAGATGCTTCAAGACATTTGATCAATTTGACTTCCGAACTAAATTGAACTCAAATGAACATATTGAACTAAAGTCAAGGCAAGTTAAGCAGGTCACGTATTATGGTTAAGTATGGTTAAGCAATGTTAAGGATGTGCCTCCATGGTGAGCGTGTCAAGTTTTGGAGTCCAAGGCTGTTGTGGCAGCGCTAGACGAGTGTGGCAAGATCAAAGAGTGCCTTGCAGAAGCAGACACAAAACTATGAAAAACTCACAGTTTGAAATTCGCAAACATGCACCAAGCATGCATCAAAGGATATGAAAGGCATTCAACACGGATTTCAAAGCCTGCAACATGCATGCATCATGCATGCAACATGCATGCAACATGCATTCAACATCATTCAACATGCATTCAACATGCATCCGAAACAAGGTTGAACATCCATCAGTTTCAATATCCAACAATGCACCAGAATTTTAAATGATTCATTTTGATGAAGTGACTCGCGCACCACATGAGGTGGGACATGGCACGATGTTGCTGCAGCGGCTTGTCCGTATGGACCGTAGGCTGCTGTAGAGGGTGAGATGGCCTGGGACGCAAGAAATTGAGAGAAATTGGAGATGCACGTTGAGACGTTGAGGAGTCATGCTTGGTCATTTCAGCTATGGCGCAGCATCTCTGAAGTGTGCTTCGTAGAAACCCTAATTCCTCATTCATATTAAAATCCTCAGCGGTTCTCTACCAACAAAAGGGTGTCAGAAGTGGAGTTTGTAGCTGCAACGGATACCATCTTTTTGTAGCAAGGCTTTGTTTAGGTGAAAGAACCAACATGAGTTTTCATTTAGCACTTTACGGTGAACTCTTATGCCTCTATTTGGGCTATCACAGATTTGCTTCGCATTTGGTAGCAGACAGTGCATGGGGAGATCCGCAGATCATCCAAAATTCATGTTAAGCATGTTAGGCCTCATGTCTTCGAGTGTTTGCGATTTTGGTGGCTTTTTGTAATGGCTGGATTCTGCATTCTATAGTGATTCTCCATGTAGGCTAAGCCAAGCCCTTTTCATTTTTGTAGCAATAAGGCTGGTTCAGGGTCCTTCAGCTACAAAATGGCAAAGCACAGCTTCACCCCTAGAATTCAAACGGGATGTCTATGGCACAAGTTTGTACATAGTGGCATGCATGTGACATACACGCAAGCACACACACATTAAAATTACATCCTGACATACCGCTTTTGGTCGAAGCTCGTTTCTGTCTCTGCAGCTGATCTGAAGGGGTGATGTTTGAGGCGAAAACGCCTTTTCGTCTTTGATGAATGCATTGGGGAAGCAGCCGCTGTCTCGACTGGCTTTGGGCTACAACACACTGGGCCTCCAGGTGGGGGTTCTGAATAATGAGAGCAAGCAGGAAGCTACATGTAGAATCATTGAAACAACTTTATTCATTATCGGAGAGAATAAATTTGCCCCTTCGGATGTGTGGTGGATTCTGCAAAGGCTTTGTTGTCTAAAGTCAGGTTCCTTTTGTGGTCTTTGTCATTTGGTGCATTCTCAGGGGCTGGGGAGCATTCTAAACGCAGCAAGTCAGCACCTGACTTGGGCATCCACATTGAGCAGCCTCAGCCTTGAAATGAACGGCTTTGGTGATGAAGGATGCCTGAAGCTAGTCCAGAGTTACTTGGTGGCCGGGATTGTTTCATATTTTTTTCCACACAAATATGTTTGCACCCAGCTTTGCCATGCTTTGCCATCATTCCTGCATATTACATATGGAGTATTCAGCCCAGTTGGTTCGGATGTTTTCGGAGGTTTATTTCGTTCATGAGATTCGAAATTATGATCTATATTCAATCATATTCACCACGGGTCCTGCATGAGTTGGTGCAGAGGTCAACGCTTTCTACCCGGGCTCGGCGTGTTGGAGTTGGGCTGGAACCAGATCACGTACAGAAGCACCGAGGTGCATTGGGGAGAGTTTGCCGATGTAGCAATATCATGATACAAAGTGATGATAGAAATTGCAAAGGCTTTAAGGTATTGTGTTGCTTCCTATTTATTGTGTGTTGTGAATCAGGGATGGCAGAGCGAAGCCACTGATGGACCGAAAGGTGATTGAGGTCTCCTCTCTTTCTCTCTTTCTCTGACTATCTAC